AAGCTTTTTCATTATAGCATAGCGGATGCTGCCTTTATGGTCCTAGTTGCAAATTGCCGAAGGCGGTTTGCAAGCTAGGGGGGTCCGGGGGCTATAATATTTAGCATGGCGTCTATGATATTTAGAGTGGCGGGTGCATTTTAGGATGGCGGGGCTCGACGATCGCCTGGCGGGCCGCCAGGCCGCCAGGCTATAAGTGCTCTTGGAGAACCCTGAAAAGGTATTTGAAAATACCTCCAATGTTGTTCAAATTCTCCGATATTGTTGACACTTTCGCGTTGCTCTGCCAAGCAACCGTACCTGTAGCGGGTGTAGCAAAGATTTCTACGGCCCGTGTGCGTTTGTCGCTCGCACGCTACTAGCGCAATGACATGTTATCGCTCGCGATATCAAGCCTAAAATCAATACGTTATTCTCAGAGTTTATTACGAAACCTATTATTACTTTCCCAATAGCCATTGATGTTACATACACTGCAGTTCACAATACTACAACTATCTTAAAATATAAACGACTATATTCTCTGCTCAACACCCGTAGCAACATGTGACGTCACTTAACCGATTCGGGGCGAAATTGCTTGGCAAACAATTCGGCGTTGGCGCCAGATTACCAGATTTTGCACCTCTTTCTTGTGGGTTTTAAGCAAACGCGCAGTGAAATGGGATGAACTAGAATTTATTTTGTCATACGGTAGTGTGATTAGGCATGACACGAAGTATTTGCTAGTCTAGTACTGGAGAAATTAGCGTAGTAGTGTAGATGCGCATATTGTCGCTTTAATGACATAGGTCATAGCGACAGTGAACCCACTGGATGAAATTTTTGTTTGCTTGGCCAGAACAGGATCAAGTGATCGAGATTCCACCTCAAAAAAACAGTCCCTAAGGTTGATGATTATCAATTTGCAAACATTGTCATTGATGCATAGAATTTGACAAACCACACATATGGCTAGATGCACTAAACATTAGCTCTAGTAACTATAGCCCGCGTACAGTTGCCGCTGGCCAGCGGCAACAGTACAGTGACTAGATACAATAATGTAACCCAACACAAGAGTAGGGTTACAAAGCGAGCCTATTTTTTTCTTTGGAGGAGCCCCTGAGTGATTTACTCAAGGCGGTTTTATGGTGCGTTTTTCGAGACTAGAACTTCCAAACTGGGTTTATTCTAAACACGCACCTTTCTCCGCTATCCTGGGACTTACTATGTATCACAATACTCTGTATTAAACTAATATAACCTGTTACAGAATTTCGAAGCGACGAGCGGCGATATTTCAAGCGCCATTTCTGGTGACCTGTGACGCTGGCTTTCCCAATGTGCATAGCGATCGGCAAACTTCGATCAGCTCTGGCTTTAGTGCACTGCGAGCCCTCCTATTGGTCGGTGAAGGATACGCGCATATGCGCGACATCCACGTGCTATTTCTCAGGCATCCCGTGATGCATCCGCTCTTCAAACCTAAGTTTGCCGATCGCAATGCACATTGGGAAAGCCAGCGTCACAGGTCACCAGAAATGACGCTCAAAATATCGCCGCTCATCGCTTCAAAATTTTGTAACAGGTTATATTAGTTTAATACAGAGTATTGTGATACATAGTAAGTTCCAGGATAGCGGAGAAAGGTTCGCGTTTAGAATAAACCCAGTTTGGAAGTTCTAGTCTCGAAAAATGCAACATAAAACCGCCCTGAGTGATTCACTCAGGGGTTCCTCCACACAAAAGGATACGCTCGCATTGTATCCCTATCCTGTGTTTGGGTTACATTATTGTATCTAACTAGTAACTAAACATTAGCCCGACCAGGCTGTGCGACGGATTGTCTATACAACCCTATACAACCCTATTGTCTATTCTAACCCTAGCAATACCGTTTCTTGGAGCTAACTAAACATATGCTGTAATCATTGTCACTTACAGACAGTAGAGTAATCAACGTGAATAGTTGAATATAAGCGTCTGAAACAAAAAGCTGTAAGAAGAAGAGATAGATATTGCAATAGGAATTAATACGCTACGTGAAAAAATCCGTAACTGTAGGCCTATGCTGCTGTGTTGATCCTACCTACAGCTAGCCTACTGACCGAATCAGTGAACAGTTTACACAGTAAATCACTTCCGACGTTCCGTGACATTACGCAAATAATTAAATTCAGTATTAAACTTACTATGTGTCTGTTAGAAAGAAACAAGTTCAACGGCAATGTGGTGAACACTTAACAAATCGTAATTACTTTGTTCCGTTCGGAGAAATCATGTAATATGGTAAAATCTTGTTCATTTCAGCTGACGTACATACACAGCTTGGCTACGTGTTCCGCATGCGTAACGTACTTGACCTTTGACCCATTTCTTTGCAAATATAATTTTACTGCTTTATACATTGAATTATGGACTAATAAATCATTCACTAACAATGTATTTAAACGTATAGTTTACTTGTAATAACTGCCAACAGAAATGCTAAATTCAATAAAATTACAAAAATACTTGTTATTACTACCCCGCAGTGAGCCGTCTAGCAGTTCCGGTTCCGCTCTGCAAGTGAGAAGTTTTTGGCCACGTCAGCTTTCCAGGTTTTTAATGCATTTGTTGTAATAAATTGCAGTTATTTAACGACGTAAACCAAGGGAAAAGACAGAAGATGGTGTTACTTACGATGATCGCGAGAGTGGCAGATGGGCTGCCCTTGTGTGCCTCAATCCAAGAAGACGAACAGGTAGGTAGGTAACCTCACTCACTGACTCAGTCCTGAGCCAGGCCCAGTGGCAGTGCCAGTGGCAGTATCAGTATCGCTCATAGTCATAGGCCGATAGGGTCTATGTGACTATGTCCCCCAGGGTACTGCCGGAACGTACCTTGGGTACGGTCCGGTATACCGGAACGTACCTTGGTAACTACGGTATCTAATATGGTTAGGGTTAGGGAGTAGGCGTAGGCGACTACTTACTCTTTAGTGGAGTAGGCGAGGTACGGTCCGGCATATAATAGATAGTACTATTACTATTAGTATTAGTATTCGTATTAATAGTACCAGCAGAGCATATAAATCACGTTGATTTATATGCTCTGGTACCAGGGTACCGGTACGTTCCGGTATACCTGACCGTACCCAGGGTACGTTCCGGCAGTACCCTGGGGGACATAGACCCTCTCAGCATCAGTATCAGATAAAGTACTACTAGTACTACTATTAGTATTACTGTAAACAAAGTAAACATACTATTTAACATAGCTATACAGTAGTAAAATTGTAGGGCTATTTTAATCTAATATTTATTATGGGAGTCTGTGTGAACCTAAGTTTTTAGCTAATCTGACATAGTCAGATGCAGCTTGTAGAATCGCATGATCGTCCGTGC